TATATATATTAAGTTGATATTTGATAATGTTTATAAAAATAAAAAAATATAAGAAAGTAAATAAAAATACGTTAAATTCCATAATGTAAGGTGAAAACATATGAATGAAGGTAGACTATTTTAATTCAAAATAAGTTTCATATTAAAGCCAACTTCATAAATATATTAAATAAGCACTTCAAATGAATATGTTTGGATGTAGAAAAATTTTTTTTAATGCTAATATGGAGTTTATAGAATCAAATAGGGTGACTTTAATTCTCATTTTCCGAACTTTTAAATTAACAATTTAATTTAGCAATTTTTTAATTAATAATAATTTATGTTTTTGATTATGTCAGCAATTTAAGTTTGGCTAGCCCTAGCGGATTGGGTTATAGTTGACTCAAGTTTTTTGTAAGGGTTCACATCTTATAGCAACTGGTAAATTTCTAAATAATGCAACACTTATGAAAGTGGTGCATCACATGAATCTTATACTTGCAATCAAAATTCAATAAAATATGCGCGTCTTAAAAAAGATAATGCAAGAATTGCTAAGGAGTTTGAGACAAAAAGTTACCGATAGGAAGTAATAGTTGATATATTTTTTAATAACGATGCAAGTTTTCCATCTGACAAAAGAGCTTACTTCTCATTGAACATAACTAGAAGTTCAAATAATATTTTGCAATAAAGTAACTATTTAAGCTCTTAATTAACTTAAAATTCAAATATAATTTGTAATAGTTCTGGAACATAATATTTTAATTTTTAAACTGTAGTAGGTACATCGACTGAATCTTATAATGAAAAATTTAGTATATCAATAGGTATATAATCAGAAGATGACAAATAACATCTTGGTATTCGAAATTTGTTTGTCTACGCCAAATATTGTTTACCATTTTGTAAAACTTGTTCAAGTTCAACTAGCTGTCTAACATGTTATCATGGTACTCTAACAGGGGGATCTTGTAGTTGTGACCCTTCTAATTAATTTGCTTAAACTGGGATTGGATGTAGATAAGAATGTGCAAGAGATTATTTTATAGCAAGATCAGATAATATTTGTGTCCCAGATAGGAGAATTAAATCATATGTTATATATTTTGAATCTACAACTTTCAGTGCTTATACTCCCTTTTAATTCGTTCAAGATTCTACAAATATAAGAAACTCTCCATCATTAATTCACACTTGCTCCTCTATTAGCTATGTAGGAAGTTTAATTTATAATGAGGGAATGAGTTTATAATTTGCGAATTCTTAATCTTTAAAATTTATTAGGCTCAGAATCACATTTTATATTAAGGGCTTTTAGAATAATAATAAAATTTAAATATTTTTAGATGGTTAAATATAAGGTTAAATAATCAAAGCAACAACTGATTATACTTTTGATAGAGTAACAAAAATCTAAAGTTCGAGTACTAATTGCTCTACTTATGATTTAATCAGAATAGAAGCAATTCTTCGGACTTACTCTGCTTCTCCTAAACTAATTTTATAAGGAGCATTGTTAACCTAAGCAACTTCGATCTGGGGATTCAGAAATATAACCATTGATAATGGTAATTGTCAAGAAAATTGTGCCATTTGCGCTGATTTTTCCACATGTCAACAATGTAACAGTGGTTATGTGTTGTTTTAAAATGGTTGTGTTGGTGTTTGTCCAGTTCATTCTACTAATTGCATAGATTATGCAGATATGATACCAAGTAATTTAAATTCTTAAATTTAGACTCTCGTTACTTAGCAAAAGGATTTTATAATTTAAATATGAGCACTTCAGATATAAATAATTTTTTTGATTCAACTACTGCTACTGGTAGTAATTTCATAACAGGATAGAAATTTTCAATATTCCCAACTAAATTTGTCTTAGGTGGTGTAATGGTATGGAATAATGCAATATATTCGAAATAATGGTATATATTTAAACCTCACTATGCCGTTTCTATTAGATTTAATGTTACATATGGGGATTTATATGGTGGAAATTTTTATTACACCATTTAAGGAGTGAAATCAATTGCTCATCCAAAACCATCATCAGGAGGTTAAAACTTTATTGGTAAGAATTTAAATGAAATGACAAAATATTTTGAAATTTTATAGCATCCTTTCACATCGTCGCCATTAAATATTCAGTTTGAATGTACAAATCCAACTTCAGATGCAAAAAATTCATTTTGTGCAATTTCTGAATATTTTATCGTTGTACATTATGTAAATTTTTGATTGTATTTTTAGTGTCTTCCATTTTGTGAAAATTGTAATGATGGGGTTTCATGTGTTATGTGGAAAGATGGGCACAATAGTTAATATTGCAATACAGATTAATTTTTATATTTTGATTCTATTTCTGAAACCTATAGTTGTAAAAACTGTAATTAACCAGGATGTTTAACTTGCAAAAATATAGAAGAATGCACTTCATGTGATTCATCAAGTTAATACAATACTTTAATAAATGGAGTCTGTTTACCAATTAATCCACCCATAATAAAATGCGATAAATCTTGTGCAACATGCACAGGAACTTTAAAAACTAATTGTCAAACATGCGTTTCAGATTTTCATAGATCTTTTTCGCACAATCAATGTGTATGTTAGCTTGGTTTTCATGAAGATGGATTTAATGTAGGCTGTTTTCCTGTTTGCGGTGATCTTTTAATTGTTAATGGAGAAGAATGTGATGATGGCAATTACGATCCGTATGATGGATGTAATAATTGTAAAGCTAGTTGCGATGATACTTGCAAAGAATGCTTATAGGGAATTTGTTTTGATTGCCAATAAGGATTCTAGCTAGTAGATAATAGATGTATTGCCATTTGTGGTGATAATCTTTTAGTGAAAACAGAGGAATGTGAAGATAGTAACTCAATTCCATATGATGGATGTTATAATTGTAAATTTTAATGTCCAAATCATTGCATTGATTGTTAATTCGGCAAGTGCATAAAATGTGATGAGTCGAATGGATGGTATCTTGAGGATAACATTTGCTAACCTATTTGCGGAGATGGTATTATTGCTTTTTAATCTGAATAATGCGATGACAAGAATTATTAAACCTTTTGTTTTTAATGTATGAACTAATGTTAAGATTCTTGCTAATCATGCTACAATGGATACTGTTATTAATGTGATATTGGATGGGTTCTAAACACAATTGAAAAGTATTGTTATCCGATTGATGGAGATAGATTAGTAGTAGGGAACGAATAATGTGATGATGGCAACAAAATATAGAATGATGGATGCTTTTTATCATAATTTGAAGAGCAGATCTCATGTGAGTAAGACTGGTAAGGATAATGTTAAAAGTGTAGATCTGGATTTGAGATGATCAATAATATCTGCAAAGAAAACAATGTAGATGGATTAGTAGTGGGAATAGAATAATGTGATGATTAGAATTTGATTGGGTAAGATGGCTGCTTTTAAAATAGATTTGATTGCCCTTAATTTTGTTTAAGTTGTGTTTTGGGTTAATGTTTATAATGCCATTAGACTTCGGGGTATGGATACCTTAATATATTCAATAACAAATGCTAGTCATTTTGTGGGGATGGTATAAAATCTATTGAAGAAGATTGTGATGATGGGAATGAGATTCCTTATGATGGATGTTTCGAATGCTAACTATAATGTTAAGTAGTATGCACTGATTGTAGATAAGGAATATGTTATGAGTGCGGAGTAGAAGGTTGGCATCTAATTAATAGTTATTGCGAATGTAGAGAAGGTTGGCATTTAATTAATAATAATCATTGTGAAATAATTTGCGGGGATGCTGTTGTTGTTTAAGATTTAGAAGAATGTGATGATGGCAATTACGATCCGTATGATGGATGTAATAATTGTAAAGCTAGTTGCGATGATACTTGCAAAGAATGCTTATAGGGAATTTGTTTTGATTGCCAATAAGGATTCTAGCTAGTAGATAATAGATGTATTGCCATTTGTGGTGATAATCTTTTAGTGAAAACAGAGGAATGTGAAGATAGTAACTCAATTCCATATGATGGATGTTATAATTGTAAATTTTAATGTCCAAATCATTGCATTGATTGTTAATTCGGCAAGTGCATAAAATGTGATGAGTCGAATGGATGGTATCTTGAGGATAACATTTGCTAACCTATTTGCGGAGATGGTATTATTGCTTTTTAATCTGAATAATGCGATGACAAGAATTATTAAACCTTTTGTTTTTAATGTATGAACTAATGTTAAGATTCTTGCTAATCATGCTACAATGGATACTGTTATTAATGTGATATTGGATGGGTTCTAAACACAATTGAAAAGTATTGTTATCCGATTGATGGAGATAGATTAGTAGTAGGGAACGAATAATGTGATGATGGCAACAAAATATAGAATGATGGATGCTTTTTATCATAATTTGAAGAGCAGATCTCATGTGAGTAAGACTGGTAAGGATAATGTTAAAAGTGTAGATCTGGATTTGAGATGATCAATAATATCTGCAAAGAAAACAATGTAGATGGATTAGTAGTGGGAATAGAATAATGTGATGATTAGAATTTGATTGGGTAAGATGGCTGCTTTTAAAATAGATTTGATTGCCCTTAATTTTGTTTAAGTTGTGTTTTGGGTTAATGTTTATAATGCCATTAGACTTCGGGGTATGGATACCTTAATATATTCAATAACAAATGCTAGTCATTTTGTGGGGATGGTATAAAATCTATTGAAGAAGATTGTGATGATGGGAATGAGATTCCTTATGATGGATGTTTCGAATGCTAACTATAATGTTAAGTAGTATGCACTGATTGTAGATAAGGAATATGTTATGAGTGCGGAGTAGAAGGTTGGCATCTAATTAATAGTTATTGCGAATGTAGAGAAGGTTGGCATTTAATTAATAATAATCATTGTGAAATAATTTGCGGGGATGCTGTTGTTGTTTAAGATTTAGAAGAATGTGATGATGGCAATTACGATCCGTATGATGGATGTAATAATTGTAAAGCTAGTTGCGATGATACTTGCAAAGAATGCTTATAGGGAATTTGTTTTGATTGCCAATAAGGATTCTAGCTAGTAGATAATAGATGTATTGCCATTTGTGGTGATAATCTTTTAGTGAAAACAGAGGAATGTGAAGATAGTAACTCAATTCCATATGATGGATGTTATAATTGTAAATTTTAATGTCCAAATCATTGCATTGATTGTTAATTCGGCAAGTGCATAAAATGTGATGAGTCGAATGGATGGTATCTTGAGGATAACATTTGCTAACCTATTTGCGGAGATGGTATTATTGCTTTTTAATCTGAATAATGCGATGACAAGAATTATTAAACCTTTTGTTTTTAATGTATGAACTAATGTTAAGATTCTTGCTAATCATGCTACAATGGATACTGTTATTAATGTGATATTGGATGGGTTCTAAACACAATTGAAAAGTATTGTTATCCGATTGATGGAGATAGATTAGTAGTAGGGAACGAATAATGTGATGATGGCAACAAAATATAGAATGATGGATGCTTTTTATCATAATTTGAAGAGCAGATCTCATGTGAGTAAGACTGGTAAGGATAATGTTAAAAGTGTAGATCTGGATTTGAGATGATCAATAATATCTGCAAAGAAAACAATGTAGATGGATTAGTAGTGGGAATAGAATAATGTGATGATTAGAATTTGATTGGGTAAGATGGCTGCTTTTAAAATAGATTTGATTGCCCTTAATTTTGTTTAAGTTGTGTTTTGGGTTAATGTTTATAATGCCATTAGACTTCGGGGTATGGATACCTTAATATATTCAATAACAAATGCTAGTCATTTTGTGGGGATGGTATAAAATCTATTGAAGAAGATTGTGATGATGGGAATGAGATTCCTTATGATGGATGTTTCGAATGCTAACTATAATGTTAAGTAGTATGCACTGATTGTAGATAAGGAATATGTTATGAGTGCGGAGTAGAAGGTTGGCATCTAATTAATAGTTATTGCGAATGTAGAGAAGGTTGGCATTTAATTAATAATAATCATTGTGAAATAATTTGCGGGGATGCTGTTGTTGTTTAAGATTTAGAAGAATGTGATGATGGCAATTACGATCCGTATGATGGATGTAATAATTGTAAAGCTAGTTGCGATGATACTTGCAAAGAATGCTTATAGGGAATTTGTTTTGATTGCCAATAAGGATTCTAGCTAGTAGATAATAGATGTATTGCCATTTGTGGTGATAATCTTTTAGTGAAAACAGAGGAATGTGAAGATAGTAACTCAATTCCATATGATGGATGTTATAATTGTAAATTTTAATGTCCAAATCATTGCATTGATTGTTAATTCGGCAAGTGCATAAAATGTGATGAGTCGAATGGATGGTATCTTGAGGATAACATTTGCTAACCTATTTGCGGAGATGGTATTATTGCTTTTTAATCTGAATAATGCGATGACAAGAATTATTAAACCTTTTGTTTTTAATGTATGAACTAATGTTAAGATTCTTGCTAATCATGCTACAATGGATACTGTTATTAATGTGATATTGGATGGGTTCTAAACACAATTGAAAAGTATTGTTATCCGATTGATGGAGATAGATTAGTAGTAGGGAACGAATAATGTGATGATGGCAACAAAATATAGAATGATGGATGCTTTTTATCATAATTTGAAGAGCAGATCTCATGTGAGTAAGACTGGTAAGGATAATGTTAAAAGTGTAGATCTGGATTTGAGATGATCAATAATATCTGCAAAGAAAACAATGTAGATGGATTAGTAGTGGGAATAGAATAATGTGATGATTAGAATTTGATTGGGTAAGATGGCTGCTTTTAAAATAGATTTGATTGCCCTTAATTTTGTTTAAGTTGTGTTTTGGGTTAATGTTTATAATGCCATTAGACTTCGGGGTATGGATACCTTAATATATTCAATAACAAATGCTAGTCATTTTGTGGGGATGGTATAAAATCTATTGAAGAAGATTGTGATGATGGGAATGAGATTCCTTATGATGGATGTTTCGAATGCTAACTATAATGTTAAGTAGTATGCACTGATTGTAGATAAGGAATATGTTATGAGTGCGGAGTAGAAGGTTGGCATCTAATTAATAGTTATTGCGAATGTAGAGAAGGTTGGCATTTAATTAATAATAATCATTGTGAAATAATTTGCGGGGATGCTGTTGTTGTTTAAGATTTAGAAGAATGTGATGATGGCAATTACGATCCGTATGATGGATGTAATAATTGTAAAGCTAGTTGCGATGATACTTGCAAAGAATGCTTATAGGGAATTTGTTTTGATTGCCAATAAGGATTCTAGCTAGTAGATAATAGATGTATTGCCATTTGTGGTGATAATCTTTTAGTGAAAACAGAGGAATGTGAAGATAGTAACTCAATTCCATATGATGGATGTTATAATTGTAAATTTTAATGTCCAAATCATTGCATTGATTGTTAATTCGGCAAGTGCATAAAATGTGATGAGTCGAATGGATGGTATCTTGAGGATAACATTTGCTAACCTATTTGCGGAGATGGTATTATTGCTTTTTAATCTGAATAATGCGATGACAAGAATTATTAAACCTTTTGTTTTTAATGTATGAACTAATGTTAAGATTCTTGCTAATCATGCTACAATGGATACTGTTATTAATGTGATATTGGATGGGTTCTAAACACAATTGAAAAGTATTGTTATCCGATTGATGGAGATAGATTAGTAGTAGGGAACGAATAATGTGATGATGGCAACAAAATATAGAATGATGGATGCTTTTTATCATAATTTGAAGAGCAGATCTCATGTGAGTAAGACTGGTAAGGATAATGTTAAAAGTGTAGATCTGGATTTGAGATGATCAATAATATCTGCAAAGAAAACAATGTAGATGGATTAGTAGTGGGAATAGAATAATGTGATGATTAGAATTTGATTGGGTAAGATGGCTGCTTTTAAAATAGATTTGATTGCCCTTAATTTTGTTTAAGTTGTGTTTTGGGTTAATGTTTATAATGCCATTAGACTTCGGGGTATGGATACCTTAATATATTCAATAACAAATGCTAGTCATTTTGTGGGGATGGTATAAAATCTATTGAAGAAGATTGTGATGATGGGAATGAGATTCCTTATGATGGATGTTTCGAATGCTAATACTCCTGTGATTTAAATTGTATTGATTGTCAAAAAGGTGTATGTAATGCTTGTTTATTTGGATTTAATTTGAATGAAGTTAAAAATCGTTGTTTTAGTTTATGTGGAGACGGAATTATTACTATAGATGAGTAATGTGATGACGGAGCTAATAAAGATTGTTTTAATTGTTAATTTCAATGTTAAAAAGAATGTCTAAGTTGTTATTAAGGGCAATGCTATTAATGTGAAGGAATAGGATGGGAGATTGATTTAATTTAACGAATTTGTATATCTACATGCGGGGATGGCATAAGAGCTGGTATAGAATAGTGTGATTATGATAATTAAAGCGAAATAAATGAATGTCATTAATGTCAATTTAGCTGTTAATAGTAATGTACTAAATGTATAATGGGAATTTGTTAAGAGTGTAATACTCATGGTTGGTAGCTTTCTGAATACCGATGTATTCCTTTTTGTGGAGATCAAATTATATTAGAATATGAAGAGTGTGATGATGGAAATATCATACCATATGATGGATGTTTTGAATGCAAGCTTTAATGTTAAATCGAATGCACTGAATGCAAAACTGGAATATGTTATGAGTGTGGAGAAGAAGGCTGGCACTTAATTAATAATCATTGCGAAGCAATTTGTGGGGATGCTATTGTTATTAAAGATTTAGAACAATGTGATGATGGCAATTTTATTTAGTATGATGGATGCTACCAATGCTAATTTTAATGTTAAGAAATGTGCACTCTTTGCGAAGAAGGTATTTGTTATGAATGTGAAAATTTTGGCTGGATTATTGATATTCATGACTGTAAACCTATTTGTGGAGATGGAGTAATTATAGGTAATGAATAATGTGATGACATGAATAATAATTAAAATGATGGTTGTCATTAATGCTTATTTGCATGTGATTAATATTGTATAGATTGTTAACAAGGAATTTGTTAATTTTGTGAGTTAGGAAGATTTATAGTTTAGAATGTTTGTATATCTTAATGTGGAGATGGTGCTTATGTAAAATCGGTTGAATTTTGTGATGATGGGAATAGAGAAAATGGGGATGGTTGTGACACTTATTGCAATACAGAAGTTAATTACTTATGTTAAAATAAATAAGGTGAGGTCTCCATATGCGCTTATTCTAAATAACCAGAATTCAATATCAAACTCTTCTCAACGTTTGCTGGAGATTTTTAAGATGTTTCAGTAACATTTGATTAGAAAATGAAATATTAGAATGAAGATGATGAAAATAAAATATCTCCTCTAATAATTATTAGTATTTTAGATATGAAAGATTCTCAATTTGAAATCATCTAATAAATTATTAAATCTGAACAAAATGATGAAATAAGTGACATCACTATTTTACTGAAAGTAAAATTTTCTGCTCCAATAGAGAGACCGCAATTAAAAATATAATTTTTGAATGATTCATTTGTTTCAGAATACAATTTGCCTCTTAAGTAGTTAACTAAAACAATTTAATTATTGACACCTTCAGTCCTTAGTTCAACTTAGATAAATTTAGCTTAAAGTACGGTAGCTTATAATTAAGCTGTGATTTATTTCTTAATTAGTATATCTGGTGTTTGTCTTTTAACAGGTTCCTCTGAAATTTTTTGGAATCTTATGGATCAATTATAATATTTATCGTACATCAAATATATAAACATTTAATTTCCACCAAATCTTAATATTTATTTTGAAGTTTTTAAACTAATTAGTATAGAACCAGTAACTTAAGCTTTAGGAATAGATAATTTGCTGAATCTTTTTTAGCAAGAGCAAAATAATTAAATTAATCAAGATCATAAATTTGCAATTGATGATATAAACTCAAGATTTCTTGAGAATTTTAGCAGTTTCATATTTTGTCTGATATCGGCTTATTTAGGATACTTTTTTTTTAAGATTACATATTTGTTATTGTACCGTCTTTAACCATATCTACTCTTGTAAATGAACAGGAAAATTGCTAGTGGTTTTTATTTAATAAGAAAATAAAGTTAAAAAATTTGTAAAGATTTTCACTATAATAGCATTTTTAGAGTGATAATGTCAAATGCTTACGATATTTCTTTTTCAATGACGTTATAACTTGCTTATTTTTAGAATAACAATGTAAGTGAGACAATAAATTCTTATATTTCACTTGTAGTATGTGCAATGTATTTAGCCATTTCAATTTTTATTTTTAACATTTTGCAAAATTTTTCAAGTAAAAATACATTAAAAGCAAAGAAAAAATATGAATCTTTATTTGAAGGAATTAGAGATAGCAAGAATGTTTGGATTATTTAATATAATACAATTTCATTAATCAAGAAGTTTGCTTTTATTAGTTTGATTGTATTTATGTAAACAGAAGGAAAACTTTAAACTCTTCTCATTGCTTTAAATTAAACTTTATTTCTTTCTTATTGCCTACTCAATAAACCTTTTTAAACTAATTCTGAGTATTACAAAATTGTTATAACAGAAACATTTGTTGTTTTCAATACAATCACATTTATTCTTTATGATTATTTCAAAGATATCGGGTTGACCTAAAACTTTAGTATAAATTTAGGATGGATTCACATCTCCACATTTTCAACTATACTAATAATGTCGTTAGTCATAGATATTTATTCACAGATTAATTTAATGAAGCTTAAATTAAAGAAAATTTTTTGCAATGATTAAAAAAAAGACGTAAGAGCATCAGTAACACTTTTTATCTGAATATTTTTAATTAATAATTATATTATATTGGCTATTTTTATAAAAAACTTTAAAATTCGAAGTTTATGATTGCCAAAAGACACTCAGTTTCAATAAAAAAAAAGTTGTTCTAAACTTAATATAAACTTAATATCCATAGTACGATAGCTCTATTCAGTAACGAAAAAAAAAGTTAAAAGTATTATTTTGATATTTTGTATAATCTTTTTAATAATAAGAAAATAAATTTTTAATTTTGTATAATTATTTTAGTAATTTTTTATATTTTGTTTAATATTTTAATATATTTGTATTTGTATATTATTTGTATATTATTTGTATATTATTTGTATATTATTTGTATATTA